TGAGGAGACCGCATATAAACAGCCCTGGCAGACAGCACTTTTGAGAGAGACTGGGAGCTCGTGCACGGACCGGCCAGACACGACGTCTTTACTGAGATTGAGCCTATTGCGAAGCTGTAGCCAGCGGGAAGAGTTTTGCCCATTTACTTTCTGTTTGTGATTTGTTTATTTGAGTGACGTTATTGTGAGCGCGGAGGGCGCTGTGGAAAGAGTGAAAAATAAAAGTGCACGAGCCCCAGATATTGCCGACCCTGTGTCTCCTTCCATCACCTACACTTCACACAGAACCCGATCTGTATCACAATGACCTACTGTAACAGTGCCATTATTAGCCAGATCTAATGTAATGTTAGTGACACTATTATATGATTAGGGTATGAATATGTTTTTATCTTGATGCGGTGCGGACGCGCTTGGGAAAAAAAAAACGAGCGCGTTTACCGCGTTGAACTTGCACCCTGCGCGCGGCGCGCCTAGTAGCCTAAATTTGAAATAACCATGGAAATAACGAACTTGAGCGTGCAAAAGGGTACGATAGGCTGTGAGTTCATTGTGCAAAAACAATTTGTGCTATTACTTTCCCCTTATTCTATCCTATAGTAATGCAATACTGTATATTATATAGGCTACTGTTGAATACATTTGGTTCATTTGGTTAAATTGCATTTAAAATATATTGATTCCTGTAATAATAATTATTTATTCATGTGATATTTATAAATCTGGGTGCGTTTTTGGTTGGAAATCAATGAAAAATGGTACTGTATTACCTGGTCTCCCCTGTTTATTGTCACAGCTCATACAATAAAGCAAACACCCATGATAAACTATGCTTTTCTATCTAACGTTAGTAATTGCTGACTCTTTATTCCAACGCTGAGCGAAGCGAACTCTCTGCTCCTCGTCACGGTGCGTCTCAGGTGATTGTTATCACTCTGCCCAAGTAGCAGTGCTTCGCCTTCAGAAAATATAGTATTTATACGGTCAAAAGATGTCTGTGTCTCATATGGCCTTGATATTTGCACACTCTGTGACTATACAAACCACAACATGTAAATAGGAAAACGTTTGCGTTATTTTGTCACTCATTTGGATCAGTATGAAAGCTGCAACCATTCACATCCAGTCTTTGTGCTAAGCTAGGCTAGCGGTGGGTGCGTCAAACAGACTTATAGCACGCACGGAGATGAAAAAGGTATGTATGGACTTATCTAACTCTGGGGGGTAAGGTGAATAGGCTAAAGTCCCAAAAAGTCGGAGTGTTCCTTTAAGGAAGGACTCTGGTGTGATTTCAAAGAAATCCTGTGTCATGTGATTTCAAGGTAACCAGTGTATAGACTTGGTGTGTTGGGTGAGATGAAGCTTCACACAGTCCTCACAGAGATGGAGGAGTTACAGGCTAGATGAATTACGGGCCAATATCACAGTAAAGCTAGTCTGCTTTCCAGGGTTTTATTCATACTAAATTAATTTAAAAGTATAATAAAAATCATGTCTACCTAATCTATTCACCTTCTTAGAAGACTTCTGTATAATATAAATGATTCATGCATACATTTTCCCAAAGGTAACATTTTTACTAAACAGCTTCTGTTCAAAAATAAAATAAAATAAAAAATGTTTTAAAGCAAAAACTGTGCTCTGGCGATCTTATTTATATGAAAAAATATTTCAAACCGTATTTTTTTGTGCACGCCACAGGAAACATGTTGTCTAAGTTTTTTCTGTTGTTGTTGTTTTTGTTTTGTTTTTAAGAAATCTTTTAAAATGTTATCATTTGTTGATACGACAGTTTGTCTGTTGGTTGCATGAACTGACTTTCCCAAAGAAGTGTGCAATTGGGCGCGTGGAAGTTAGGTATCTGGGCTTTCACTTGGGTCATGGACAGGTGCGTCCCCAAATTGACAAGACGGCAGCGATTGCGACCTGTCCGAGACCTAAGACCAAAAAGGAGGTTAGACAGTTCCTGGGGCTAGCAGGGTATTACAGAAGGTTTGTACATAATTATTCGGACCTTGCTAGCCCGCTGACTGATTTAACTAAAAAGGAGGCGCCAGATACCGTTCAGTGGACGGAGCAGTGTCAGCAGGCTTTTACCCAGATAAAGGCAGCCCTGTGTGGTGGCCCGCTGTTACAGGCTCCTAACTTTTCTCTCCCTTTTTCCCTGCAGACCGACGCATCGGACAGGGGGCTGGGCGCCGTCTTGACCCAGGAGATAGAGGGTGAGGAGCGGCCGGTGCTGTACATTAGTCGCAAGCTCTCGAAGAGGGAGACCATGTACAGCACCATTGAGAAGGAGGCTCTCGCCATTAAGTGGGCTGTTCTAGATGAATTACGGGCCAATATCACAGTAAAGCTAGTCTGCTTTCCAGGGTTTTATTCATACTAAATTAATTTAAAAGTATAATAAAAATCATGTCTACCTAATCTATTCACCTTCTTAGAAGACTTCTGTATAATATAAATGATTCATGCATACATTTTCCCAAAGGTAACATTTTTACTAAACAGCTTCTGTTCAAAAATAAAATAAAATAAAAAATGTTTTAAAGCAAAAACTGTGCTCTGGCGATCTTATTTATATGAAAAAATATTTCAAACCGTATTTTTTTGTGCACGCCACAGGAAACATGTTGTCTAAGTTTTTTCTGTTGTTGTTGTTTTTGTTTTGTTTTTAAGAAATCTTTTAAAATGTTATCATTTGTTGATACGACAGTTTGTCTGTTGGTTGCATGAACTGACTTTGGCGATATTTACCCTCGTTTTGAATTTGTCGGTCACATTTCTCTTTAATTAAAATGTTTATGCTTTTTGGCTACGAGGATTACATCATGAAGTAGGCTACCGTGCAGTGCAGCCTTTCAAATTTGTCGGGGCAGTGACAAGCGCCTCTCGCTGCTCTGAACGAAAAAGCAGGCTAGTGCGTTTGTCCCTCTCTGCTATTATAGTTTTTCAAGATGGCGGAACAACATGGGCCTCTGTGCACTTTCCCATACTATGAAAATAACAATGAGAAATTCTTCACTTATGAGTCGGAACATTGCCAGAGCTAATTTTACACCAATGAGATCATTTTTATGAATTAAAAACATTGATTTTAGCTATTAAAATATTTTTTAAAACCTACTGAACCTTTAATTTCAGTGAATCTACACATGAGAGATCTTCAAAAGTCATAACTTCAGGGGTGAATGGGGTTCCTGAGAATATTTCATTTCCCTTAAAACCAAAGATGAAGCTAAATGACACTAGTTTGCAATGTACCCCTAAAAACCAAATACGATTACACTTTTTCAAAGAATAAAAACATAATTTCATACCTGTTTTTGTTCTAATCTCTTTAAACACGATGAAACAGGATAATCATGCAACCAAATATGTCTGACACAATTTTTAAAGAAAAGTAGTGTTTTAAAATTGATTTATTTATTTTTGACAGACCTGAAATGCATGCTGATACAAGTTTCCGGCATAGTGCAAACAGGCAAGGTTCGAGAACCCTAATATCGATGTAATCTCTGCACAGTCTCAACCACAAATACAAAACTCTGTGGTGGGTGATACGGTCATGGCTTTACTAAAAGAAAATATTATGAAAGTCATTTTCAAACTGTGATACATTTCTTAATTTCATGGTTTCATGTTGATTTAAAGTATTTGTTTGTTTGTTGTTAATTAACATGTTTATTTTTTAACTAACACTTCAATATCCAGCACAAAATTAAAGAGATGAGTGAGCTAATGGTGTTCTCTGACCCCAAATAATCAGACAATGGGATGTTCACAAGCTACAGTGAGTGAGTTATTCTCCTGCATATTATGTGTGTAAATACAAGTGCTTAAATCGGGTGTATTTTTAAACGCCAACATATTTTGCCCCCCATAGCGATGCAAAGTACCATAGTCTAGCCCAGCGTTTCTCAAAGTGTGGGGAATAGAAACCCACTAAACACTGAACGTCAGATAGACGTGCAGATATTGGGTCTGTCGGTCTATGACCAATTTTGGACATCTATTCGACGTCCAAACTAGGTCCACTGTTTGGACGTCATATTGACGTTCAAAATTTGACCTTTGAACTGGGTCATTTTTTTGGACCCCTTTTGGATGTCTAAGACAGGTGCAGGAAATTGACATGATTGATATGCAATATTTCTTTTATTTACCGTCCAAATATTGTTGTCATCAACATGATTAATACATATGAATACAAATTTTTTTATAATTATTTAAGATCATTTTCCAAAAACTCCATTATACAAAGGTGTAACCGATGTCTGGAGACATTGAGTAATCATTCTGTGGTAGTTCAGCTTCTTCATACATGTATAATTTCCTCTTTTGAAGAAGCTGAACTACCACGGAATGATTACTCAATGTTTAAAGATAAAGAAGATATGACTGAAAGGTGACAATCTATCAAATACAAAGCATAAATGTTCTGTACAAAACTGTTTGCACTCATAGTCAAAAGTACAAAAACAAACACTATCTCTTTCTGCTTTGTGGTGTTATTTTAAAGGGATACTCCACTTTTTTTTTGGAAATAGGCTCATTTTACAACTCCCTCAGAGTTGAACAGTCGAGTTTTACCGTTTTCGAATCCATTCAGCCGATTTTCTGATATTTAGAATAATTTTAGTAACCAGACAGTTTCTGGTCTCATTGACTTCCAAAGTAGGAAAAAAAATATACTATAAAATAAACTGTCTGGATACTGATATTCTTCTAAATATCAGAAAATCGGCTGAATGCATTTGAAAATGGTAAAACTCAACTGTTTAACTCTGAGGGAGTTGTAAAATGAGCATATTTCCATAAAAAGTGGAGTATCCCTTTAAGGAACGACTCTGGTGTGATTTCAAAGAAATCCTGTGTCATGTGATTTCAAGGTAACCAGTGTATAGACTTGGTGTGTCACAAAGTATCGCGAGAGCAATTCAAAAGCAAATGTAGCGCCTGCTCTCCAATCCTTCTCGCGGTACTTTGATGTGACGCACTGATCAGTGTGTGTGCAGCGCTGCTTGAAATACAACAAGCCTGATAACAGCTTTCACTTGCTGTTTAGACGCCTGGAGTTGGATAGAAGACACACAAAGAAATAAGCAGGTTTGTCTTTATTTCCTTAATATTATCAATTTGATCACTTTCATTTCAGTTGTACTCAGTTGTTAATCACAGTCTGTGCATTAACTAATGAAGGCAAATACAACTTTTGATTTGAATGTTTTAGTAAATGCTGAAATTAATATTAACTAAGATTAATAAATGCAAATGCTTGATTAATGAAAAACTTGTAAAGTGTTACTGATTCATGATAGCTATACACTTTCATACATATAATACAACAAAACTAAAAATGCCAAATTTACAAAATTACCTTCTTGATTCTCACTGTTTTGTTTGGCAAAGTAAAGAGTATTTAGTAATATTATCATCATTTCCATATTTTGATTTGATGTGCTATGCTTTCTAATTGAATCAACATATTTTCTTATAATGCCAAGGAGAATAAAAATAAAATAAAAAATAAAAAAAATGTTTAGTGTCCTTTTTGGTCCCTCTGCCCCTGAGGAGGTCTGTGCACACCACTGTTCTGGACCAAATAAACACTCCCAAGATGCAATGAATTACAACTCTTGTTTATTTCAATGTAATTTCCATTTGTAATTGCAAAGCAGACAGTGTCTTTTTCCAAAAATTATGAACATAAAGGAAACACCTGTAAATCTTTGGATCATACGAGAAACCAGATCCTGCCCTTAATCACAGGCATAAAATACAGATACTTTGACTATTTCTGTCAGATGTAGAAGATCCTAGTGAGAATTAACAGAGGTTTAGATGTTGATATTTGCTTCATTTTAAGTGACCATTGTGGTGATCATTGTTCCCTTTCGTAGTCACTTCGAGTTACGTCAGAAGTGATGGAGATTGGGGGTTTCGCATAGAAAGCCAATCCTCTTCGAGTATTTAAAAACGAGCCAATGGCATGCAATGCCTTGGGGCTGCGGAAATTTGCATAGCGTACTCCGCCCTACTCCGTGAGTATAAAAGGAGGAAGTGAACGCAACCGCAGTATGTTTTCGCTTCGGAGCCAAGAGAACCTCTTCGCTCCTAAAAGCCATTCTCACTGTTCAAGACTCTTCGAGACGAGCGTCCTCTTCAGTGTTGGTGTGACGGCGATACCCAGCGAGACTCTGCATCGCCTGCGATCTGAGCAGTGGTCTGCCAGACTTTGCGCTTCTCCCTGGTCGCCTCAGCGCTGAAAGAGTGAATTTCCTCCTCTCATTGAAAGAGCTGCACGCGGCACGTCTTTTTAAAGACGACTCGCCTGTGTTCTTCTGGGTGCGGTCGTTTCATGTCATTTTCTGATGGTCGCGATCGCTGCTCTGTGTGCCTGGGCTTCAGCATGCAGTAGCAGCGTTCGAGGATGACTCATGTTCCTTCTAAAGGGGAACATGAGCATCTCTACACTGTGATCGAGACTCAATGATCTGATAGTGAGAGTCCCCGTGTCCGTTACTCGTTCTGCTTCTTAAAATAGAAGCTCTTCGACTCGCGGATAGGGTGATATGACGGTGAATGTGTGACACTCCCCCCGACGTTAGTTAAAGCCTCGGGTCACACCCACCGCTCCAGTGTTAGAGCCAGCGAGCGCTGTATCGCTTCAGACGTCTGCCTCTCTGAGGTACCGTCTGCTTCGTTCAGCGCTCCAGAGAATGATGCGATGACGATCGCAGCATCACAAGGCGGGCTTGACTCCTCGGGAAGTGAGGATGCGGCCGCGTTGCCTCCCTCGGGAGCGTCGGCGTCGCCGTGTCTGATCCCGCGATGATGGCCATGCTATCTCAGGCCTCCGTGAGCATCGGGTGGGGGTGGAACTCCGCCCTATCCCGATCTCTCGCGGATGGATAATTGGTTTTTGGGTAACGCTGCCGCCTCACGGCCGCGGCCAACCCCAATTTCCTTTTTCCCCCGAGTTGCATGCGGAACTGACACACACTTAAAAAAAAAAAAAAAAAACGAGAGCGTGCTTCAGTTCCCCACCCTTCCTCCCCTCGGCGATGCGGCTGTCTGTGGGTACGCTGGGGCTCCCCCGGTGGAACGCTCTGTTGCGATGCAGCTCACGAGAGCGGTCACGAGAGCGGAGATTGCACCCTGCTGGCGAAGGGTGCAATCGAGACGGTCCCTCCAGCCGAGGTGAGGTCCGGGTCTACAGCCCATACTTCACTGTCCCCAGAAGACCGGTGGGTTACGGCTAATCCTGGATCTGCGCATTTTGAGCCGTACTCTCCTTCAACTACCGTTCAAAATGCTCACAGCCAAACGCATTTTCGAATGCGTTTGGCCTCAGGATTGGTTTGCAGCAATCGACCTGAAGGACGCGTACTTTCATGTCTCCATATTGCCTCGACACAGACCGCTCTCGTCTTCACGAAGATCGTCGAGGCAGCCCTTGTTCCCCTTCGCGAACACGGGGTTCGCACCCTGATTTATCTCGACGACTGGCTGATACTGGCACACACTCGAGAACAGGTTTGCGAACACAGAGACCTGGTGCTCCGGCACCTAGCCCGCCTGGGCCTTCGGGTCAACCGGGGAAAGAGCAAACTTTGCCCCGTGCAGAGGATCTCTTTTCTCGGCATGGAGATAGACTCGGTCGCCATGTCCGCGCAGCGCACGAGCGAGCGCGCGCACTCACTGCTGACTTGTCTTCGACAGTTCGAGGGCAAGAGTGCGGTTCCACTAAACTATTTCAGAGGCTCCTGGGGCATATGGCATCCGCGGCCGCGGCAACGCCGCTCGGTTTGCTTCATATGAGACCGCTTCAGCTGTGGCTTCGCGATCGAGTCCCGAGGTGGGCATGGCATCGCGGCTCGTTCCGAGTTCCAGTGACTTCAGCGTGCCGCCGAACCTTCTTCCCGTGGTCGAACCTCAGCCTTTTACGGACCGGCGTCCCTATTCTGCGAGTTTCCAGGCACCTGTCGTTGTCTCCACGGATGCGTCTACGACGGGTTGGGGTGCCATGTGCAATGGGCATGCAGCCGCGGGTTCCTGGACAGGACCCCAGCGCCTCATGCACATCAATTGCCTCGAGCTGCTGGCAGTACGTCTCTCCCTGCACCGCTTTCGAGCACTGCTCAGGGGCCAGCATGTGCTTGTCCGTTCAGACAACACCACGGCAGTAGCGTACATCAACCACCAGGGGGGTCTACGCTCACGCTGGTTGTCGCAGCTCGCCCGCCACCTCTTGTTATGGAGTCAGAAGCACCTGAGGTCCCTTCGTGCAGTGTACATTCCAGGAGACCGGAACCTGGCAGCCGGCGATCTGTCACGGGTCCGTCCTATCTCCGGCGAATGGCGACTCCATCCCCAGTCGGTCCAGCTGATTTGGGACCAGTTCGGGGAGGCACGGATAGATCTGTTGCCTCCCGGGACTCATCCCACTGCGCCCAGTTTTATTCCCTGACCGACAGTACGCTCGGCTCAGATGCGCTGGCGCACAGCTGGCCGCGGGGCCCACGCAAGTATGCGTTTACCCCAGTGAGCCTCCTTGCACGGGTGTTGTGCAAGATCAAGGAGGACGAGGAGCAGGTCTTGCTGGTAGCCCCCTATTGACCCACCAAGACGTGGTTCTCCGAACTCTTGCTCCTCGCGACAGCACCTCCTTGGCCTATTCCTCTGAGACAAGATCTACTCACTCAGAGACGGGGCACTCCGTGGCACCCTCGTCCTGATCCTGGAGACTACACATGTGGCTCTGGGACGGGGCAGGTTTGAGTTCGTTGCCACCTGCGGTGGCGGCAACCATCACTTCCGCTAGAGCGTCGTCCACGAGACACCTGTACGCGTTGAAGTGGAACCTCTTCGTCAGCTGGTGCTCTTCTCGCTGAGAAGACCCCCGAAGATGTTCGATCGGAGTCGTGCTTTCCTTCCTGCAAGAAAGGTTGGAGCGTAGGCTGTCGCCCTCCACCCTTTGGGTTTATGTCGCGGCCATTGCCGCGTCTCATGATGCAGTGAAAGGTAAGTCTATGGGAAGCATGACCTGGTCATCAGGTTCCTGAGGGGAGCGAGGGGGCTTAATCCGCCTCCCTCCCCTCCTGCCCTCTGGGGACCTCTCAGTAGATCTAAGTGCTCTGCAGAGGCCTCCCCTGGAGCCTTTGCAGTCGGTAGAGTTTTTGCCCTGTCCTATGTAGACAGCACTCCTGATTGCATTGGTCTCCATCAGGAGAGTAAGGGACCTGCACGCACTCTCTGTTGACGAAGTGTGCCTGGAGTTCGGGCCGGCTTACTCTCACGTATTCCTGAGACCCCGGCCTGGATATATACCCAAGGTTCCTACCACTCCCCTCCGGGACCTGGTGGTGAACCTGCAAGCGCTGCCCCTGAAGGAGGCAGACCCAGCCTTGGCACTACTCTGTCCGGTACGTGCTCTCCGCACCTATGTCGACAGAACGCGGTGTTTCAGGACCTCAGTCCAGCTCTTTGTCTGTCATGGGGGGGGCCAGAAGGGAAGGGCTCTCTCAAAGCAACGGCTGTCCCACTGGATAGTGGACGCCATTGCTTTGTCTTACCAGCAGCAAGGCTGTCCGTGCCCCCTTGGTGTGACGGCCCATTCCACTCGGAGTGTGGCCTCCTCTTGGGCTCTAGCGCACGGCGCCTCGCTAACAGACATTTGCAGAGCTGCAGGCTGGGTGACACCCAACACCTTCGCCAGATTCTATAATCTGCAAATTGAGCCGGTGTCCTCTCACGTACTCGCTTCCGCCGGTACTGGACCCGCTTAGGTGTCTTCGCTTGCTCGCCATTCCACTCCACGGACTGGAGAAGTGCGATATCTCCTCAGTTCTTCCTTTGAAGCCTTGAGTCCTCCAGCACCTACGATGCGGGCACCACTGCTGTTGCTCTGGATGCTGGCTAGGTGCCTCCATGTGCACGGTTCCCCATGGTAACGGTCTCATGTGCATTTCCACTGTAAGCCTCTCTGAGCATGTGTCTTCCCTTGGCAAGCCATCTGCCACCCCTGGAGTTAAATTCCAGTAGCCACCTGCGGTTGGTGCTCCAGTGATTCCATATGTGTTCCTTGCGGCCATATGCGTATTGTAAGTCCTCCCTTTGGTAGGCATCTGGTTGCATGTCCCTCCCGGGATATGTTTCCCAGTGTACCTTGGTATTCCTGTGTTAAAGCGGGATCCCCTAAGGAAGGTTTTCAGGGGTCCAGACTTTCGCAGGGCACTGGAAGACAGCTTGAGGATGGCGTGATGGCATAGACCCCCAATCTCCGTCACTTCTGACGTAACTCGAAGTGACTACGAAAGGGAACGTCTCGGTTACGGATGTAACCCTCGTTCCCTGAGTAGGTACGGAGACGTTACGTCTCCCTGCCACTTCTGCTGTATCGCTGGGTAGACGCCGAGTTCAGTCTTGGCTCCTCAGCGAAGACATACTGCGGTTGCGTTCACTTCCTCCTTTTATACTCACGGAGCAGGGCGGAGTACGCTATGCAAATTTCCGCAGCCCCAAGGCATTGCATGCCATTGGCTCGTTTTTAAATACTCGAAGAGGATTGGCTTTCTATGCGAAACCCCCAATCTCCGTCACTTCTGACGTAACGTCTCCGTTCCCTACTCAGGGAACGAGGGTTACATCCGTAACCGAGACGTTTCCTTTCGTTGGGCTCTTGGTCCCCTTTATTTTTGCGTTATCTTTTCTTTCTTCTGGGATTTATAGGCGTAAATACGACAACCAAGGATTTAGACAATCTCAGCTTGTTTGCAGTGAAGGGATGAAGAAGATAAAGTATTATGAACAATGAAAAATCTCTGCCAGTAATCTAAATGTAAAGATACGTAAATATAATGTAATGCATCCTTTTCCCCTGAAGATGGATAAGTATCGCAGACTCTCAGACGCCAGTGGTGTCAGCATTTCCTCAGATCAGAGCATGGATGTTTCTCCTGGCATGATCAGTGAGTATAAATATCACACATATTTTTCGTTTGCAAAATAAACATCAAACCGTTCTTAGAAACCACAATCTGATGGCAATGGTAGACCACAGTCAGACGAGGACTGAAAAATATGCGTTTTCTTTTTTAAATATTACGTTGAAAATTGGAATACCGCTGTTTCAACAATTTTCTGATAACTTACAGGTATGATGACAACCTATACTTGTTTGTATAGGTTGTGTAGTTGTGTGTATACTTGTGCCTTATGAGACATTCAGTCGTTGCAATGGGTGTACACTCTCATTGCATGTCACAACTCGTCCACCATCTTCTCGGCCCACCTGGAGATGGCCCACTCCTCTGAGAGAGGACCTGCTCATTTAGAGACAGAGAAGCCTATAGCACCCACATCCAGACCTCTGGAAACTCCATGTCTGGTCCCTGGACAGAACTCGGAGGATCTAGGTGACCTACCCCAGGCGGTGGTTTACACCATCAATTCTGCTAGAGCCCCCTCTATGAGGTTTCAGAGCGTCCGAATCCAGGCCTAGTGCTTGTATGCTTGTGTAACTTGTGCTAGGCTGGATTCCATGTGTAGTGATCCCTGTGGCGATCCCATATGCTTATTCTTCCACGATCACCTCCTTGCGGTGAGTCCGTGTATTTCTCTTGGCAGAGTCCGCTATGCTGTCACTGTCCAGTCCTGTCCACCCCCCCTAATAAAATGATGTATTTCCCTTCGGGCAGGATGTGGCTTGCTTCCGCAGTATTCCCCTTCCCTGGAAAGGCAGGCTTTCCCAGTGTTATCTAAGAGTTCCACTGTGTGGGGTATAACGAAAAAGCAGTTTGAACTCTACGCAGGCCTACAAATATTTTCGAAAATAAAGTGGAAAATAATTTTTTGAAAAAAAAAAAAAAAAAAAAGAGGTTAAAGCACTGAACTTTACAAAAAGAAAAATATAACAGTATATTTGGAAAAATATGTGACACTATATTTACTACTGTACATCATAATGTATATCATTTTAATGTTATTAAATACACTTCATACTATAGATATACGTATGTGATCAGATATGGCACTGCATGTCTATATTGCAGATATTTTTACTCATATAAACACGTATATAGAAAAATATGTAATATATTTATATTTTATAATTATTTGCATTATCATTGTTCAATATTTCAGTTAGTAAAACCACAAGTACATCACCTGCATATACTAATGTATCTTGCAAAGGGACTCTCACTGTGTTGAGAAATGCATAGCCATTACTTTAAAATTTAGTAATTACAGTATTGATGATGTGCAGTGCATACCAGAAAACCTTTTTATATTCCAAAATAATAGAACATTAAAAACTAACAAATCTCACCCTATATTAATATTGAGCAGAAAACATTAAACACTTCATTTTTAAAGGGTTAGTTCACCCAAAAATGAAAATTAAGTCATTATTTACTCACCCCTATGCTGTACCAACCCCGTAAGACCTTCGTTCATCTTCGGAACACAAATAAAGATATTTTTGATTGAATCTGAGAGCTGGATCAGTCCTCCATAGACTGCCTAAGGGACTGGCACTTGACGACCCATAAAGTCATTAAAGAAAAGGTTTAAATATTCCATGTGCCTACAGCGGCTCAATTATAAGTTTATCAAGCGACGAGACTACTTTTTGTGCGAAAAAAACATAAATAACGACTTTATTCCACTATTCCATTACTTCCTTATGGGCCTTGAGACGAGAATTGAAGAGATTTCCAGAACGCATGCGCGAGAACTGAGACGAGGACGTTCTTCTTCGACTACTTCTTGTTACCGGCTGCTCACCGCTTAGGAGTATTATCAGAGCCTGTCTAACGGAGAGCCTTGGCACTTCCTATTAGCCCCGTTGTGTATCACCTTGGTTGCAGTTCCATTATAATTCCACTGGAGGTGATCGCGGGCGAGAGCAGAATGAATGGGAGTCTATGGGGCTAAACGGCTAAATGTGTCTCTTTCACTTGCTTGTCATTAAATTAACATAGATTTTATTGTTGATTCCGCAAGTTAAATATTGATTATAGGCCAAAAGTCGAATGAATGAGTACTTTTGTCCTTTTGATTTCTTACAGGTTAGGCCGTTGTTGACTGGAACACGCTAGCATTCTGCTATTGTGTGACGTCATCACAGTTTTGAGCAGATTTTTAGAACAGATAAGTGAACTTAAAAATGCAATCTTAGCCCTCCCTTTTGAATGAAACTTTCAAATTACTTGACAAAAAATTACATCCTGAGAAAAGTGGATTTCTGGGGGTGAAACCCCATTGACTCCCATTCATTTTGCACTCGACCGCGAGCGCCCCCGCATGGACAGAGACGTGTTACTGCAGCCAGTCCAGAACCCGGATGTTACCAGCCAGTGCCAATTCTCTTCAATTAGACATTCTCTGGTATTACCGCCCCCTACCGTATAAGATGATGATCCACATATAAGGCGCTCCAGATTGTAAGGCGCACAGCACTGTCGTATTTGAGAAGATTAAAGGCTTTTAAGTGCGCCTTATAATGCGGAAAATACGGTAATTGAAAAGCGTATGTACAGCGTGCATCTTCCTCTGCTTGTAAACAGAAAGTTTTGCGCTTCCAGCTATATCAGCACATCATCTTATACGGTAGGGGGCGGTAATACTAGCGGTGAGCAGCCGGTAACAAGAAGTAGTCGAAGAACAACGTCCTCGTCTCAGTTCTCGCGCATGCGTTCTGGAAATCTCTTCAATTCGCGTCTCAAGGCCTGTCCAACAGTCCGAATGTTTTCAACTGGTGGGCTTTGAGTGCTACATTCTCTTCGTGTTTTCCAGAGGGTTTATAAGAAGGCTCACCACACTGGATGCTGTTGAATTACCAAGTATTTGGTTGTATCTGCGGTGATCTCACTGCATTTCAGTCTGTGCGAACCATGCCGATGATTCCCAGAATTCGTGGAGTTTGAGGGTGACAGCGTTCGCGGTCATGATCATGTTGTGTCACTGGGTACGTCCAGCAGACTAATGTCGGGGTCATCAGTGTGATAATTGCAGTAACTTGCAAGAAACAACTTCTCACCTTGAGCACACAAATACGTGCGTCATTTATTTTGGTATGAAAAAACACTAGCCCACAAAAAGCGCTGGCAAGCGCCTTACATCATCACGAATACAGAACGTTTGGGACCACTATCCCTGAACAGTTATGAGGAAAAACGCTAAGAACAAAGTACTGCATTTATCACCAACAATGTATAGAATTATATTTAGCACAAAGGTGAATTATGTATGTCACAGTCACTGCACGTTAAAGGGATACTCCACCGGGTTTTCATATTAAACTATGTTATTCCCTTAATTAAGACGAGCTGATGCATACCTCTCTCGTCTCAGTGCGTGCACTCTATCGCTCTGTATTGCCGCAAAACTATGTTAGCACTTAGCTTAGCCTAGTGCATTAAATATGGGCCCAAAAGAGAAGCGACCAAACACTTCCTCGTTTTCCCTATTTAAACACAGTTACTCGATTAGTGTAACTCGACCTAGGCTGGTGACACAAAATAAAACGTTGTGTTTTTCTAAGCGTTTAAAATTGATGACTATATTGTATGGCGGAATACCATAAAAAGTGCTTTAGAGTGCTTCAACTTGGCGCAATAATACCTTCACTCGTGAAAAGTCCTCTTACCGTTTAAAATTGATGACTATATTGTATGGCGGAATACCATAAAAAAGTGCTTTAGAGCGCTTCAACTTGGCGCAATAATACCTTCACTCGTGAAAAGTCCTCTTACCGGCTCCCGCTTCCTCGCTCTCCCCCTCCCTCTTATTTCCGTCAATGCAGCCAACGTGACATGCGACAAAGCGGGAGCCGCTTAGAAAAACACAACGTTTTATTTTGTGTCACCAGCCTAGGTCGAGTTACACTAATCGAGTAACTGTGTTTAAATAGGGAAAACGAGGAAGTGTTTGGTCGCTTCTCTTTTGGGCCCATATTTAATGCACTAGGCTAAGCTAAGTGCTAACATAGTTTTGCGGCAATACAGAGTGATAGAGTGCACGCACTGAGACGAGAGAGGTATGCATCAGCTCGTCTTAATTAAGGGAATAACATAGTTTAATATGAAAACCCGGTGGAGTATCCCTTTAACATTTATATGGGAGCATGTATGTGCAATGTATGTCCACATTAAATGTGCTGCTGTGTCTTCATTTATAAGTATTTTATATGTATTAATTAATATATAGCCAAACATGATCAAGGCACATATTGCAGTATATTTAAAAATAGATGATCTAACCCTTTATTAGGTTACACAATCAAGAAAATGTTTGCAATATTTTTTTTTTTTTTTGCATGTTTGGACTGAGTTTTCATTGCATTCACACAGTCTTGAACAACAGGTTTCACCTAGTGGTGTTTTGAACGCTTAAAAAAAATATAATTGATTCAATGTTTGGAAAACATTTGCTTTGTTTCTCTTATTTCAATTGACAACGCATACAGTATTTTGCAGAAATTATTGTAAATCTTGATTATAGAAGTGCTAAAAGAACATGGATACACCATAGAGGAAGAGCTTGGACGAGGAGCTTCAGGAATGGCGTTTCTGGTGAAAGATGCAGATGGAGATCCTTATGTGGTCAAACAGATGAACTCCAGAGATGTATGATCTTCCTTGAGTATTGACCACAGGACTCACAACTTTTCCTTACAATAAGTTTTTTTCTTCTTCGTTTCAGGGTGAGGAACTGAATTCTGTCAAAAAGGAAGTCGAGATCCTGAAAACGCTGCAGTTTGGATACATTGTTACTTATGTGGATTCATTTGAAGGTACTTGTTCTTTGTAGACTATATTTTTCCTTTGTTCCGAATAAAAAATCTGTTCGTTTTAAGTTGTTTCTGAAAAATTATGAAAAACCATGGATTACGTAGTTAACTGAACAAAGACGCTTTCCGAAAATTTAGCTATTAAGACAGTCAGAGTTAAGTCATTCTCTGACTGGATGTACATTTACTTAGAAAAAGAAGCGGGACGCATTTATATTGTGATGGAGTATTGTGAAGGAGGTGACCTTTCAAAACTCATGGGCAAACAGAAAGATGAACGTTTTTTTGAAGAAAAACAGGTGAGTTTCTATTCTATTCTATCCTTAAAACCACTCTCACATAAAACATGATTTAGTAGGTTATGACCCAAACATATACACTCCTTGTGGGGACATTATACAAACATACACTACACACACATGTTTTATGTTTTATGAGGACTTATTGACGTAATGGTTTTTATACTGTGAAAACTGTATATTCTCACACACACATACACACACACTCAACCGACCCCTAAATCTACCCATCACATCAGACTGATTCTGTATGATTTATAGGCTTGTTTCCTCATGGAGACCAAAAATGTGCCCACAAGGTCCAAAATGACTGGTGTCATTATACTTGTGGTAACTACATAACTAATGAAGACAGGGAGGCAGTTTAACAAAGACGTAACTTTACTCCTTTCATAGTGCAATGCAATAGTAAAATACTGTCTTATATTTTTCTCCTTGATTTTTTAAGAAGCCAAACACATGTCTGCATCATTTTATTAAAGGGAGATAGTTCACCCCTCAAAAAAAAAATTTAATTTACTCACCCTCAAGTTTTTTCAATCCTGTATGAATTTCTTTTTTGAAAAGTTAAAAAAGAAGTCTTCATCGCCTAGCAAACAATAGCTGTCATGTCACCGTCTAGGTTAACTATAGATCCGATATAGTCCGGCTCTAGCCAAAATAACCTTAAATTTGGATTCATGCCGTTTTTTGCCAAAATAACTTGCGAGATGTAAGATATGTCACCATGTAAGCAAAGTAAACAGTGATTACAAGGTGTTTGATTTCATTTATTTACTCATTTAATTTCCTTGTTATCTAATTGATGACTAGTCTTTTCTTGGGCTCTGGTTTAGACATCTTAAATTTTCACTGACAGCCCTCATTTTGTCTTGTTTTAGCCTAGACGACTGGGCTGTGTTTGAATGGCCATTACGTCTTTTAAACGCAAAATTGCTAGATGGGTAGTTACCTGTAACATTACAGAATTAATGAATTAACGTAATGTTAAAGGGATACTTCAGCTATGGAAAGATGAATGTGTATTTAAAATGGGTCATTTATATTGAAGAAATTTGAAATTATTTTGAATTTGGAGTTTTCTAGACTGAGTAAAGCCCACATTTTTGGCTGATGTGGATGAAAGACAACAACTCCCAGAATGCACTTGCTTCGCTGCCCTAGGAGGCCACGCCTACCGGTAACAGAGCGCAGTAGTTAAACAACAAGTCTAGTGAGTCTCCGTGATGAGTCTGCCCAAAAATGTGTTTCGAGATCGCCCAAAATGTCCGGGATTGGGCTTTTGCGTTCTACAGTCGCCGTTCATCATGTTTACTGTGGCGAGAGGACGAGTGCGGGCCGCGGGAGAACGGCGCGAGGCCGGTGGCGTGATTACCGATGAGCGACACCTGTGAGCGACACCTGTCTCGTATCTCTCACGGAGGAGCGGGGATTTTCTTAGCAATGTTAAAACACACATCAACCGATCACTTGTTTAGCGTTCATGTAAACACTACATTCAGATTCACCAATGGAATAAATTCAGCTAGATTGAAACAAAAGCTGTGCATGTGAACAATGAATGTCGACTGCAGAAAGCAAAAGCTGAATCCCGGACATCGACGGCCGGATGTGTCCGGGGAAAAAGAGGATGGTCTTTCTCCACAGAACAAGAGCCTGCCAGCTTAGCTTACAAAAAAATATGGCAGACACTATCCCTGCGTCCCAATTCGCGTACCATCCGTCCTAAATAGTATTCGAAAACAGAATTAGTACGTCCCAAACCGTAGTATGTTGAAATGAGTGTTTCAAAGATACCCGGATGGTCTACTTTTTCCGGTCAGAATCCGAAGTGTAGATCGATGCACACTCTAACGGCTGATATTGCCCACAAACCATTGCGCGTTGGACGAGGATTCGGTTAGAACTACAAACACGAGTAAAAAGTGTTAAAAAAACTACAGACACGTTGTCGATACGGAGGACGCGCGAGTCCCCGCGGTTGTGTGGAGAGGTTTAGATAAAGAGCTTCGAGTGATTAATTATCAGTATCTAACCTGACGAAAATGAATTTATTCAATGTTGTCCACATTATATTGCATCTGCAGCAGCATTGTGAGCTTTTGTAAAGACACGTTTAGCCATTACGTTTTAAATGCATCATTATATTCAAATTGCAAACACACGAGGAGAGCATGAAAGACCCACAACTGGCAGATGAACGTGCTCTCCGAAACGGTAGGAAATCAAATTAGATAGAATGGAGGATTTTAACTGTGACGAGATGATTGACAGGGCAGTTTACGGTGACAGGATGCACACAGAGCTGATGTCATTAAAGATGACGTGATAGTATGTCCCAAAAGCTTGCCTACTCTTTTGCTACACACTCAAAAGTATGTACTTTTTCCTCACAAAAAGAGTACATACTTTTAGGGCGTAGTATAAGTAAGCGAATTGGGACGCAGCATATGTGTTCATTCTGTGAGTGAGATCGCCCTCTATGGGTGGGTTGATGACATGCGGGACAGACCCGACTACTGACTCTAGTCTTTAGCCTCTGGACACAAAATCCTCCGATGACGCAAAATGATGATTTTTGCGTCATCTGAGGATTTTTTTTTCCGGACAAAAAAAAAACAAAACATAAATCTCTCGTCTCAGGGGGATATGACGGTGGAAAGCATGGTAATACAAAAATACTACAGTTTTTCTTAATACAGTAATACAATCCAAAGCTTAATGCTAAATCCTCAATTATCCCTTTAAGGTCAATACCCAGCCTGCACAGCCATGGAAACCGTGGACAAAACTGGCTGGGTCCCAGTTAGATAGTCCAGGTCAAACACATGTGGGCCCCACATGGCTGTGCTGGCTGGGTAATGACTAAAAACCTTTAAACATTATTTTAGAAATTTCCTGATTCTTCCGCTTCTGGGGATGTCCCCACCAATCTAAAAATCAACCTTACACCCTTGATGTGTGTAGATCCTTGACTGGCTGGTTCAGATTTGCCTGGCTCTGCAGTATCTACATAAGAAGAAAATTCTTCATCGAGATATTAAACCACAGGTATGCACTGATAAAGCTCAACAAATCACATAACAAAGTCAAATCTGGAAAACTCATGAGAATTCTGTTGTCATGGTAGAATGTCTTCCTGACTGAAGATGGTTACATCAATCTAGGAGATTTTGGAAGCTCAAAAGCATTGAAAAGGTAAAAAAAAAAAACCCACATTAATGGGAACTAGTGATGGATCGAAACCAAAAGTCCTGGACTGTTACAGGTTTGAGTTTACATTGTTTTTCCTTTGTAGAGCTGATGAATATGCTAATTCAGTTGTGGGTACAAACCTCTACATCAGCCCAGAAGTTCATCAGAGGAAATATAATTCCAAGAGGTATGCTTTTGGATATGTTCAGCATTAAAATTTCCTTGATGAATGATCCGTAAGCTGTGCTTGCAAAAGTTTTAACCTTTCATTATTTGCCACAACATTCCCATCGCATGACATTCATCAGGCAGTGTTGTCCTTTCTCCTACACACTTGTCCATTACCTGTCCTGCAGGTGTGCAAGGTTTCACAATAATATTAAAGGGATAGTTCACCCACAAATGAAAATTAAGTCATTAATTACTCACCCCCATGCTGTACCAACCCCATCAGACCTTTGTTCATCTTCAGAACACAAATAAAGATATTTTTTTTAGATTAAATTTGAGAGGTGGATCACTGCTACATAGGCTCCTAAGGGATCGAAACTTGACGGCCCAGAAAGTCAATGAAGAAAATGTTTAAATATCCCATGTGACTACAGTGGCTCAACTATAAGTTTATCAAGCGACGCGAATACTTTTTGTGCGAAAATAAAACAAACAAAAATAACGAGTTTATTCGACTATTCCTTTTCTTCCTTGTAGGCAAGAAACGAGACTTCAAGAGATTTCCACAACGCATGCGCGAGAACTGTGATCTCCTTTAACTACTTCAGTTCAGTTCTCGCGCATGCGTCGTGGAAATCTCTTGAAGTCTCGTCTCAGGCCAACAAGGAAGAAAAGGAATAGTCGAATAAAGTCGTTATTTTTGTTTGGTTTTTTTTTTTACACAAAAAGTATTCTCAGGTATTCTGATTAATTATTTTGTCATTTTGCCTCCACGTTTTCCCGATTGCGCGCGAGCTTCATCTCCTGTCTATACGGTAATCTCTCTACTGTGCGACAGAGAGTCGCGTGGGTATGACGCAATCGTTAGCCTACTTTTACAAAAAACTGCTTCTACGAGGCCATAACATAAGCTACAAGGTAATGGAGCATTTTATACATTGTCGTGTTTCTTTAGAAATAAATAAAGGACAAATGGGGTCTTCAAACGCCTCAGATGTAAAGTTATTCGCTGTCAAAGTGACGCCAAAATGAATGGGAGTCAATGGGAATGCTAACGCAAGTGAAGTTCTGCTACAAGATGGCAGCTCCCGCGAGGCTTCAACTTCCGGTCGATGGATTACCCCCTTGGTGATGTCCAGGCAGTGAGTTGTGGGAAATGGAGTGTGAGGGATTCAGAATAGTCTGATGTGGATTGCCCTCTGGTGGCTCTCATGGGTACTCCAGCTGATGACCATTACAGATCCCTATCAGGCACTGTGTGCACATTAACTGTTGAGCTTGATTGTAATTTGCTTATATTTTAAAGATGTACTTTTTAATTACTGAAATGCTGGAAAGTATTTACAATAATGATATTTCATCACTGCTCCACCTCAGCGAACAAAATGGAGAATGAGAACGTTATGTGGCAGCAATTCAATTTTACAAATACGTAGGCTATTGCTTTAAAAAAAAAAAAACAAGAGCCTTATTCTTCCACAATTTTTTAAAAATAATTTCCATATTTCCTGCTAAATATATATATATATATATATATATATATATTTAAATATGAAATAATAAAGATAACATTATTATGCTATTATTAAATTAAATATGAATTTATTCGTATCATTCCAACTTAGGATCACAAAGCTTGCTCTTCCACCGTCAATAAATCACCACCCGAATGCCAGAGATTACTTACAGAAGTTACTTGTGACTTGAACGTGTGACTTACTCCCATCTCTGCCGAATGCATATGTTTTAATCACTGAGGTGTTTTTACAGAAACATTAGTATCATCTGAATAGGCCTCAAGCCTTAAAATGCTCTAAAATATAATATGTATTGTTATCATTATTTGAGTAGATAGCACATAACATGTTTTAAAGTGTAAATATTTCTTGATTTTCATTATCTTGCATCGGCTGTTTTAGTGACATATGGTCATTGGGATGGTTGCTCCATGATCTCTGCATGCTTGATGTGTGGGTGAGTATTTATGTAGTTTTTTGTTGTTGTTTTTTTCCAAAAATCACCACATCACTGTCACACTTTCAGCCCAATGATGATGAAATGCCAAAAGTGTCAAATAGTAAAACATTTATTAAATAACTCAAAACGGCAAAAGAATCACCAAACTCCACACAAGGGAGTTTGATGAACAAACTACACAGAAATAATGAACTACAGGACTAGCTGGTGTGATGTTTGAATCAGTGTCCATGACAACAGATTGTGGCGAGATCATAAAACAAATGAGACGTGACTGAAGAGTCAGTAAAAATTAAACTAAGATCATAACCGTGACTGTAGAAAAGGCCACCCCTTGGAAATGGACCCCTCCGATCTCCCCCGCCTCTGTTTGTGAGTTGGACTGTGCGGAAAAGTGTCCGGAGAGTTAAAGGACAAGTTCGGTATTTTATAGTGATGGGAAGTCCGGTTCTTTTCCGCGAACCGGTTCTTTCGGACAGTTCGTTTTAATGAACCGGTTCAAAAAACCGGTTCACCAGTTCTTTTACGTCATCACGTAATGACGTCAATTCTATCATCCCGGCGGACAAAAATACTTCAAATTAAAGGCATTTGTAATCACAACTTCAGTTAAATAATAGTATGCATTGTCATAATCATCTTGGATAAGTTTCTTACATTTACATTTTGAAAACGAACCCTGCTGCAGCCTAGTCGATGTGCTAACGCGGATGTTTTACATGTTTTAAATATATAAAATGCTTAAATGGTCTTCATCATTTTATTTGTTATTAAATAAACGTACATTTCGCCGATTCGCCCTCTCATTTAAGTCCTGGGTTCACCCGTACTACTGCGTGCTCGTATATCAGCACAGGATCAGCCGGCCGAAAGAAAGTTCTGTTCAGAGACGGTGCTATCACGCATGCGCAGTATCTCCAGCTCATCGGTTCTCCGTATCGAACGTGTCCGAAAGAAACAGTTCTCGGTTCTGCACTAGTGATTCAAGAGCTGCAACAACCAGTTCTCGACTCGAGAACCATAGCATAGGCCTGTGCTGAGCTGAAACCTGAATATACAGTCGACAAAACTAAAAATCGATGCATGTCTGTCTCCAATATAGCCTGTAGCCTATATAAGTAACAGTATACATCATGTTTATAATGTGTTAACATAACGAATTAAACATATATGTTTAATTCGTTAAACATATATGTTTAATTCGTTATGTTAACACATAAACATTTACTAAGCAGTGCACCAAACCTTGGCAAGAGTTTACATCAAAGATTTATAATATTGTTACTTAGAAATTAAATGAGCTGTTCCTGAAAATATTATTTTAGTATAATAATAAATGTTTAGTAGTTTGACAGTTTTAGAATCCAATCATTATTTCCAATCGTTAAAATAATACAGTGATACAGTAATGGGATAAACATGTTTCCAAAATGTTTTATTTTGTTACACTTATTACTGATGTTCAACTAAAGACGTGGAAACGTACATTTCGTCCCTCAGAAAAAAAATGCACGCATGCTCAGCTCATCAACTCATCAGTTCTCAATATGTCGAACGTGTCCGAAAGAAACAGTTCTTCTCGGTTCTGTACTGGTTATCCGACCGCTGTATCTGTACGTTCGGTAGTAGACGCATGCGCAGTATCAGCTGCTCGTGCTCATCACTTCTCTCAGCACCAACATATGTCTCCGTTCAGTGAACTTTTTGAGTTACTGGAATAAAATGTACTTCTGGATATTGGTTTATTTCGATTCGGAGGGACTGTCAGGCATGTTTGAAAGTGAGTAACTTTAGTAACTTGTGGTTTAGCGCTGACGCAAGACGCGAACTGTTTCGAACGATTCAGTCCGATTTAGTGTACTGGTTCGACCGGTTCACTAAAAAGAACCGGTTCAAAAGAACGATTCGTTCACGAACCGGCCATCACTAGTATTTTACAATTAAAGCCCTGTTTTAAGATCGTTTCTGATTAAATACTAGAATGGTTAAGATTGTTTTTTAGACAGATGCTGCTGTCACGAGAATTTTCGGTTTCTGTGTCGTCTGAATAGAGGATGTGTTGACGTGTTTATAGTGAATAACAGTTGTAAATAGCAGTTGAGTTGATCGAAGTGCGGTTGTTCAAGGATTTAAAGATTATGTGTGTGCCTGCAGCCAACCCACCCACCTGCAGAAGAATGTCCGAGGTGGTAAAATGATGAATGTTCTTGAGTCCGTGTCACTCGCAGGCAAGGTGAGGGTTGATGAGGGTAGAGCCATAGGGACGAGAGAGCCTGAGGGAGGGAGGAGCCAATGTTCAGAAATACACAGCAAAATCCCCAGAGTTAAATTAACACTTAAAAGTGAGAATTATTTAAACTGAGCAGCGTGTTAATGAACACTGAAGCAGTGTTAAAGATAATTAAGTGAATAATTGATTGATGATTGAGCATTATTGAAGACACCTGATGTTAAAGGTATAGCGGAGGATCTTTCCGAATTTTAGAGAAGACCCGCCCTCTCCAATTTTTAAAAAAAAATGCACATGCACAAACACAACACTCTTGCTCCCGAGAGCTAGGGAACGTCTATACGCCTTGCACAATTATGTTGCAAATTCTAAACTAACTAAAAAACATTCATAAAAAAGACAACATGTCAAATGCCCTTCCGTGTTTTATTTACTTATTATACTGATCGATTGAGTGACCGAGGACTCAAGACATGATATGTGCAACCCTGTATCACACGAAATACGTTCTGAGGAAACTATTTTGCAAATCGCAATTACGTTACATAGCAACATATAAGCAGTGCTATTACGTTGGTCCTTAACCTAATATCTCTCATTGTTAATACGTTATTTTTATAGTTGCATATGGAGAAGTAGCTTGTTGCATTTGTGTAATAATAAACACACAAGATTTTAGAATATTTCAGCGTGATACCATTTACCATTTTGGTCAAAAGGCTACTTTAGACAAATTGAGATGTTTACCGTGTCTATGCGGTGCATGACTCGTGCCAGGGCTAGCATTGTAGCTTGCATTAACTTTTACTAGTGATTTTAAATGGATTTCTCCAAATAGCATGACAAACTTTACCTGTCTGGTAGAATCTTCCCGACTGCGGCATCCGTGAGAAGCCCAACCTGTGCTTTTAGCGCACGCCAGCATGTGATATTCACCCAAAATCACTCTGGTCTTGTTTCTATATTCTGCGGCCTTTCTCTTCTTATCATACACTTAGTAAACATTTTTTCTCTTTCGACCCTCAGCCATTTTCAAAGGAATGGCTGAAACCGTAACTCCGACATAATACACCTGAAAGTGAAAACTACATAGGGATGAGCACGTAGCCTACAACGGCCTTACGTAAACATATCACCAGAATGATTGACACTTAGGTGGACCAATAGTATAGACTACCCACCCGGAAAAAGAAAATCCTCCGCTATACCTTTAAGGATCAAGAGCCCAACTAAAGTAAACACTGATCAACATATAATGGTGACTGAGGTCTTGTCCACACGGACACGGGTATTTTTATAACCGGGGTTTTTCCCTCCTGCGTTTAAAAAAAAACCTATGTCCACATGAAAACGCAAAAACACGCTATCAAGCGCTGGCAAGAGCATGCAACACCAGCAGGCGGCGATATAAACCTAACCGTAAAGCAACGTTAGCCAATCAGAAGCCGTCAGCAGTGCAAAAACTCCGGTTTGTATGTGGACAGACAACCAGGTCTTAGGAGGTTAACCTTCCCTGAGTTTGAAGTTTTGTTTTTTTACTGTTGCCAGTTAAAGGGTTAGTTCACCCAAAAATGAAAATTAAGTCATTAATTACTCACCCCCATGCTGTACCAACCCCGTAAGACCTTCGTTCGTCTTCGGAACACAAATGAAGATATTTTTGATTAAATTTGAGAGCTGTATAACTACCACATTGGCTCCTAAGGGACTGCCTCTTGATGGCCCAGAAAGTCAATGAAGAAAATGTTTAAATATCCCATGTGACAACAGTGGCTCAACTATATGTTTATCAAGCGACGAGAATACTTTTTGTGCGAAAAAACAAACAAAAATAACGAGTTTATTCGACTATTTCTTTTCTTCCTTGTAGGCCAGAACGAGACTTCCTTATAGATTTCCACGACGCATGCGCGAGAATTGCGATCTGCTCACACCAGCTTACACTACTTCAGATCGCAATTCTCGCGCATGCGTCGTGGAAATCTAAGGAAGTCTCGTTCTGGCCTACAAGGAAGAAAAGAAATAGTCGAATAAACTCCTTATTTTTGTTTGTTTTTTCGCACAAAAAGTATTCTCGTCGCTTGATAAACATATAGTTGAGCCACTGTAGTCACATGGGATATTTAAACATTTTCTTCATTGACTTTCTGGGCCATCAAGAGGCAGTCCCTTAGGAGCCAATGTGGTAGTTATACAGCTCTCAAATTTAATTAAAAATATCTTCATTTGTGTTCCGAAGTCGAACGAAGGTCTTACGGGGTTGGAACAGCATGGGGGTGAGTAATTAATGACTTAATTTTCATTTTTGGGTGAACTAACCCTTTAAGATTACTTTGTCTTTATTAATTAGTTTCCATGGTTTTTGATTAACCCTTTGTTTGTCAGATCTTATCATTGTTACAGTGGTTGGTCTGTTTGACCAGTTATATATAATTATAAACTGCTTCCAGTTACAGCTCTTTTATTTTATTTTTCCTTCAACACCTACTGAAACTAACAAGATTCCTATTTTTTTTTCTTTCTCCACAGGCAGATGGCATGAAGCGTCACATATGTCACGCTGTCAGCCTGGCAGGAAACCTCCCTCACATCTCAGAGAGATACTCCGAGGAACTACAGGATTTAATCAGACAAACGCTCAGCCGTGACCCTAAAGACAGACCTTCAGCTGAAGAGATTCTGGCAAAACCGTTCCTGACAGATGCAGTAGACAGAAACAGCAGAACACCAGAGGTACTGCTACAGACTTTCATGAAGTCCATCAGTGCCTTCGATAAGGCTTACAACAAGCACTATAAAGACTTTGAGGTCTTAGTTAATGAGTGGGAAAGAATAACAGATTCAATGGAGTCTGCGCATTACAGCGCCACAGCGGGGAGTCTGTCCGGGTCAGTGATCGGAGCAGCTGGAGGAATCACTGCATTAGTTGGTTTAATCTTGACACCGTTTACTCTTGGGGCGTCTCTGATTGTTACCGGTGTCGGTGTTGGAGTAGGAGTTGCAGGTGGAGTAACAGGTGCTGCATCCACCATTACAAATACTGTACAACAAAAAGCATTCAGAGGGAGCCTTGAAAAAATTCAGCAGAAGTATGAATCTGTAAGCGAACCAATTATCACACCACTGAACACGCTGAGAAAGGTACTGAGAAGAATCACAAAGTTCAGTGTTTTTTTCGGCAACACAAGTTTTGACAATGTCCAAATATCATGCAATTTAGACAGGGGAAATATTTTGTGTGCCTCCCAACTCCTGAATCTAGGTCTGTTGGCAAATGTTAGCAGAATTGCTACTCAGACTGCAAGGGTAGGACGAGTTGTGGCAGAAGCAGTGTCAGGAGTATTAAGTGGACTACTAGTCATCCTTGATGTCGCCTTCATAGTGATGGATTCTGTAGACATTCACCAGATGAGACAGGGAAAAGTAGATGATCCAGAAAAGGTCAAATCCAGTGTACTCAAATCCATTGCAGAGATGAGGAGAACACATAACGAGCTTTGCGATGTCCAGAAGGAAATACAAAAAACAAGAGAGGAACTAAAAGACTATATAGAATTGACCAGGGTTGACGGAGAGATAGACAATGATTTAAACAGTTTAAACATATAGATATGATTCCAGCCGGAGAATCGGGCAACATCCTACTGATTTATACATGGGCATGAGTCAAGGGGGAAAACATTGTCTTTTTAGAAATAAACATTTAATATGTTGCTCTGGAACAACAAGAATTGTGATTGTATCAAATCAAGTCAACTTTAAATACATATAGCTTTTTTTTATAATATAGATTTTCAAAGCAGCTTTACAGTGATAGCAGAAAAATTATGCTTCAGAGTTTGTTTCCACTGTACAACAGCTCTAGAAAATAGTGTCATTGTTCAGCTTAAGTCAGTTGATTCATTTCTGTATTAAATATCATTAGTTTATCAATCTGTAACAGCTTTCCATTAAGCCGCTGTGGTATTGGCAATAGGAGTGAGCAAGTAATTTACTCGTATAAACTCCATGAACTGTCTTTATGTCTTTATTTATTGTGCTCTAATTGATACATGTTGCTTCCAATTAGCTTCTTGTGCTGTTTCATTCTTTGTTGTTCAAACATACTAATCCATACCTTGCAGATACAGCGCACACACATTGTCCATATTCCATTTGTCCTTGAATATCACTCTTTATCAGCGAGCATGGTTAAGCACCATTAAACTCAGGTCAGCATGGTATTCCACATAGTACATCGCTTAACACGGTCAAAAAACTGTGTGCTTCCCCACTACCAATACACCTGTATCTCATTACCCATGTGGTCCTCATATATCAATGTCAGAGTGCCCCTAGTGGACAAAACTATAATTGCATTAGATTGGCTCCTACACAATCATTTAGTTAATTTATCTATATATAGGTGCTCTGGAGAAAACAGTGATGTCATTGTCCAGCTCATTTCAGTTAAACAATCTATAAAAGATGTCCCCAACCTTGGGGTTCTATATAGTAACAATATATCCATCATACATGTTTTCTAATAAATAAACGTGGATTACTATTTGTTTTGTACTTATTGTGGTGTTTTTTTTTTTAATTGTTGTATTTTGTGGGTAAATAAATTTAATTCAAACCTGTATCTAAAGAATTCTAATGTAATCTTCTTCTTATATACACATATATTATATTCTCATAAGCAAGTGGACCTGAGTTGGAAGAAAAATAAATGTCAAGTCCAAATGGACATAGAATATGAGTATACCCCGTATATATTATACAATAAAAACATTTAAAATATGTTAACATTGGAACTGAATTCTTTACATGTGCTTTAATATTCTAGTCAACACATCAAAAATGTACTTCTTTAAAACCACCACTAAATTATTTAACAATGCTCATTTAAGGTAAACTTTAATTAGATACCATTACAAAGTACCTTTTTAAAAATATCTTGGTCACATACGTCAACCTGGTTCCCTGAAGGAGGGAACTGAGACGTCACATGGATCTCACCTGAGACCCCATCACCTTCGTATGTAAATTACACAACAAGCTATAGTAATTGGTGTGCGGAAATTTTATCTCACGCTCCGCCCTGCAGTGCAGGGTATAAACAAGTAAGTAGATGCAATGCACATTTGTTATTATTTGTTATTTCGCGTTCATACGCACTTTTTGGCGTATAATAAGTACGAACTCCCCACCCCCCTTCCCCCTAAACCTACCCAGGGGGTTTTCAGTGCGTAGCATATGCACGCAAAAAAACAATTTTGGCGTATAAATGCCACGAGAAATGACAATCGTGGTATAGATACGCACTTTCATGATACTGTGTTAGAGTGTGGAGCTGTGTGGAGAAGCCCATGTCCACCTCTATCCCGTAACCATCCTGATCACTGTACTAAACACAGATAAATCTACGCTAACTTGAAGCTATCCTAGGCTACACAAAATAATCTAAATAACTATATAAATGCTATGCTAAATAGATGCTAAAATACTCTATCTTGATAGTTTTCAATACTCGTAAATCAAACTCTTGACTCGCAGTGGTTTTGATGGAACAAGATGATTTTTAAACTAGCGAGGGCGATGTAGCTCGTACCAATGGCGTGCTGAGCTGAAACCTGCGTACATCACCTACAACCTTCAAATCAAGTACCACCGCAAACACCCAATAGGAAAATTCAACTGCAGTAGCCACTGTTCAACCTGAAGAGGGCAGCACTAAGACAGAAATAAAACACTTTATAGCCAAATGTCAAAAAAAAATTACTCAAATCAATGATCAGCACTAATAAAGCCCCATTCTTACAGACCATTAACTAAAAAAAGTTGGTTAAGGGTTTAGTTACCCTTTAGTATTCAGTGAGAAATACAAATCTTGGAGAGAATTATGAAAAAAAATAAATAACGGTACTGTCCTGTTATCCGGACCCCACGATGGCCTACCCCTAAACCTACCCATCACTGGGGTTAAGACCAATCAGGGATGACTTAAGTTCCTAAATGGTATATGGTGGGATGATTTTTTCCAGTCTATGGGTGGGATCCAGACCCCATGATGGCATACCCCTAACCAGTGGCGGCTCGTGCAAAATCTCTCAGGGGGGGCAAATATTTGGATGATTGATAAGGACAAGGCCCACCCATGCAATGGATAAATTAAAAGCTTAAGCATGTAAAGTCAACTTCACTTTAATATTAATGACTAATAAAGTGACTTAATAACAATAAATCTTCTTGTTTCTATACTCACTATTATATCACATTAAAGAGATTCGGCACACAAATTAAGATATTTTTGATTATATCTAAGAGCTGGATCACTCCTCCATACACAGCAAATTCTGTTTTTTGGAATAAACTCCGTTAGTTAAAATCAACTCAATCTGAGTGTACATGTGAGACCATCAAATAGACTCCAGCGCAGAGTTAAAATAACTCTGCTATTGGAGTTGAATTTAACACTTTTTCGGAGTTAAAATGTATGGAGTTAAAATACTAAACCTACGGAGCGTAAATGTAACTCTAAAAATAATTATATGAACTCATTACCAGTGTTAAAAAGTAACACTTAAAAAAAATATTTAGTTTAACACTTCTTAGAGTTAACATTTATTTAACACAATATAATGTTTTGTGTGGAAATTACTACACTGAACACCATATTTTTGATTTACTGCCTTTATTTCAGCAAATCCATTTGGTTCAGATTTGAGGAGGAGTAACCTTCAACCGGTTGTCTGCAGGACAGTCGTATATGAAGATCACAAAAACAACAGTATGAGGCATAATCTGCACCATTCATTGAGAATGCAAAAATATATTAGCTGAAAATCACGCACATGTGATCGTGGGTCACCCAGGGGCGTAGCCAGGACATTATTTCTGGGGGGGCCAGCTTGTGCCAGTCTTTTATTTGGGGTGGCACTTGATTGTCAAAAACTACTATTACTAAAACTCACACGCGGCTCGTCAGGCCATAAACAATGGATTGAACTCCCTTATGACACTAATAATGTCTAATTGATAAATGTGCGAGTGCAATGTGTCATCATTATGTGAGACAGGGATGTTTTTAGTGCAAATGACAGAAAGACACAATATGAATTGTCATATTAGGCGATAATTTATTTAGGTAAACCATTGCATTTTAAGTGCAACATCCAATTTATTTGTACAACAAGTTACAACGGTTGCACAAATCATAACTAGATTATGTAGTAACACTTGAGTCATTACTAGTTAGTTCCAATGATCTTCACTTTATAATACAGATCCAAATAATTAGTAATTCCCACAGAAGTATCTAACACTTTCATCTGTGAGCTATTACTTAATTATTTGGATCTGTATTATAAAGTGAAGATCATTGGAACTAACTAGTAATGACTCAAGTGTTACATGATCTAGTCATGATTTGTGCAACCGTTTGAGATTTTTGGTGAACTTTAGTATACTTTTAGAAAATGTCTTTAGTAACACTTGAGTAATTACTAGTTAGTTCCAATGATCTTCACTTTATAATATGAATCCAAATAATTAGTTATTCCCACAGAAGTATCTAATAACACTTTCATCTGTGAGCTATTACTTACTAATTCGTTAATAAGAGTTTATTTTAGTTAATAGTAGTTACTAGATTGTTAATAAACTTTTTCAGTAGTTCTCTGGGAAGTATTAAAAAAATAGAAGTTATTGATTACTTAATAGTGAACTACCACTTTCATCTGTGCGCTTTTACTTACTAGTTTGTTAATCAGAGTTTCTTGTTAGTTAATAATAGTTACTAGATTGTTAATATTGTGTTACTCATTGGTTCTTGTGTAATTAATTAACGAAGGAACCATATTCTAAAGTGTTACCCTGAAATGTTCTGTTCGCTTTGTGTCTGCTGTAACAATTACATTCTTAGAAGAAAAGGTTCAATATAGAACCTTAAAAGGTTCTAAAGCGCTACGTATTTGGAACCCTTAAAATGCAATGCATGTGAATGATCACAAAATTCAATATATGGTGGTTAAAAAATGTAATTAATCAATATCAGACGAAGAGTGCCATTTAACTTTTTATCCTCTAAAAATGCATGATTAAAATGTGATATTAAGTTACTACAACAATTTAATAAACAATAATTTAATAACAACTACAAATGTTGCAGAATAATGTAATATATGAATGCATAATAGCCTTTAAAAAACCTTTGAGCCAAAAGGGTTCTTTCTGGTCAGTTTTGAACCTTTTTTAGCATAAAATGTCCTTCGGAGTTGATTAAAGAACCCTATGCTACATTATGGAGCCGTTTACACCTGGCCACTATATGCGTTTTCTGTGATCGGATAGCTATCCGATCGTGAAAAGACCAGGTGTAAATGCCCCCCGAAACGCATTCGAGACGGATTTGGATCCGATCACTCACACCACTTCAGAAGGTGGTCTGGGCCGCATTCCAGAAGAAACTGGACAAGTGTAAATGCATCTTGTTCTTGAAACCACATATGTAAATGTTAATACTCCCAAAAATGCTAAAAAAAAAAAAAAAAAAAAAAAAAAAAAAAGAAACGCGTGAGAGCGTGTTACAGGCTACATGATATGACGACGCTACTGCGACGCGCATCATCACCTCAGATGAGCGGCTGAACGCAAGCCAACGCGCCGCAATCTATCGCAAATCAAAGTGAAAGTAAGTCGCAGACGATTAACACAACCATCTTCATTAAAAGTAAAGAAACGAAATGATCTTACCAGTTCTGTTGCCGCTCTCTCTTATCACCGTCTTTGCTGATTTTGAAATTAGCCGATGATCAATAAAATCCAGGTCATATCTGTTGCTTTCGGTGACGTGCACTTCATTAAATCTGTATATAACGCGGGAATCGAAGATCGGATTTATATCCATTTTGCAAAAACACATTTTGTGACCAGGTGTAAATGGAATCGTTTTGATAAATCAGATAGCTATCCGATCTGAGAAAACGCATCAAGTGGCCAGGTGTAAACAGCCCAAGCGCTGTCAGAATGCAGGCACGTTATGTCTCGCCTCGCACTGTTGATGGGGGCGAGACCCAACAAGTGACAAATCAATGACTTGATTAAAAAATGCATACATTTCAGCTTCCTTTTTAGACCGTTACTGGAGTTTTTATATTTATTTTTTATTATTATTAAATTTATTTTCCCGTGAGGTTGGGAAGGGGGGCCGGCAGGGGGGCCGAGCCTTGACCAATGGTGGCCGTGGCCCCCCCTGGCCACCATGTAGCTCCGCCCCTGGGGTCACCACCAGTGTTGTGCAAGTTACTTCCAAACTGTAATACATTAGGTATTACTTGTTACTGTTATTTAAAAGTAATTCATTACCTTACAATATTACTGTCCCAGAATTGTAATGCGTTACATTACTCATGTATTACTTTTGAGTTACTTTCACCAAAAATAACTAAGTAGAACTTAACTTTTGGGCTGTAACGATAAGCAATATGAAACCGAAATCGCGATTCGCCATCGCCACACGACTCAGATCCACGAACCTACAGAATCGCGACACACCTCTTCCAACT